CATATCGATAACAACCCAATTACACAGCAATACTTAACCAATAATTTAGTAAGTTGAAGCACGAACTGCAACAGCAGCAACGTGTAAACATTGCTGAAAGATCTGATAAAGTTCCAACAAGTTTCTAAAGATCTGTCTGCTGACAAAGTCCGTAGGATTTAGTTTTAATTTTAATTTTTGATTTTGGAGTAATTTCAAATTTACAGAAAAGTTCTAAGTGTAGTAAGAATTACCCCCTTTTCTCCTTCACCTAGATGCCCTAATTGTTAGCATTTTGCCACATTTTTTTCCTCTATTTATCTTTATTATTTTTACTAGTCCTATTATTGTTGCTGAACTATTTGAGAATAACCAAAATATGTTATCTCAAGAATAAGGACATTCACTTATATACCCTCAGTATGATTATCAAATACATGAAATTTAAAATAAAAACATTTTATTGCCCAATGAATAGTCCATATTAAATTTTGCTGATTGTCCAATAATTACCTCTATGTGTTTTCTTTTTCAAACCAAAATCCAAATGAAAAACACCCACTGCGTTGAGCTGTCATCCCCTCAGTCTCCTTTAATCTGGAAACTGTCTTCCATGACATTTCTGTTTTTGAAGATACAGACTCCTTCTTTTGTAGACTGGACTTGTGTGATGTTTGTTCGTGATTACATTCAGGTTATGCCTTTTTGGCAAAGCCACAGCATGAGTGGTGTTATGTTCTTAGAGTATCACATTATGAGACACATCATGACAGTTTGTCCTCAGTACTGCTGATGTTACCTTTGCACTTGCGGAGTTGGGATCTGCCACATTTCTCAATCAGAAAGTTACCACCTTCTGTTTGCATCCTGGGAGAAAATGACTTAAGGTGTACTAACTATTTTATTCTTCACCAAATACTCACCCAGTATTTTTAGCATGTATTGATGATTCCCATCTATATTAATGACAGCTATAATATTTTCAAAAGATGTTTTTACCACTATTTGATTCTTTTTATGGTTAGTAATTTATAAGCCGCTGCAAGAAAGTTTTTCCACTGTTCTTATTTTTTGGCTAATTCATTTGTTTATGCACTTTATTTATGAGTTTGAGCTCATGGATTCTTATTTTCCCCTTGGGTTTTCATTACTGTCAGTATTTATTTTGGCGCTTAACTTGTCTCAGATTTGACAAGTGGAAGACGCTCCTTCAGATGGGCTTTACGGCCTTATGTCATGCTTTCATTTTTTTTTCTTAATTCTGTACTTTCTGACACCCCAAGAAATTGCAGTCACTTTTATGCTCTTTACCCCAACCTTAGGATCAGACATTCCTCCCTGGAGCCATCAGAACTTTTATTGAGGACCGCTATTTGCACACCAAGGTCTGCATGGTAAGTGTGCTCATGTATGTGTAAGTTCTACACACAGACATGTAAATCATAACTTCTTACTAATAACTCTATTTTTCAATTCCTTTCTACTGAATATTTCATGCCTTCCCGCATGCCACATCAACATGTTCATTCTACACTGAAAACTCTGGCTCCCAACATGAATGCATTTCTTCATTTGCTCAGTCCTATAAAACACTTAGTGTAGTTTCAGAACTATTACACCCATATTGCTATGAATAGCAAACTTACTAATTAGTGTTCAGTATTTTTGAAGTTTTTTTTCACCTTTAGACTGAGGGAATATAGTTCAAGTGCTGTGTTCAAAATTACTTATTTATTTTTTCTTCTATATGATGTTCATCGGAAATAGATTCAGGGTTTTTGGCTATTTATATTCAATTTTACTTTTTTCCTCCATTTTTGTTGATTTTGTTTCATTTATGAATACGCACATTGACAAGTTCCAAAATCAAAACTATACAAAAGGCACATGCAAAGACATCTCATTCATTCCCCACTCCTTTCTCCTTATTTACATATTAGCCTCTGTTGGTAACCAGTCTCATGAGTTTCTTATGACATTTTGTATGGTCAGGCCACCCAGGATGACCGTTCTCTTGCTCTCTGTACATCTGCTGCTCAACCAATGCCTGCTTCACTTACAGCTACTCGCGTGACTAACCTTCCTGTATACTCGCCCCCGCTTTAGATCGGAACATCTCCACCATGAGAGTTTATCAAAGGGGCAGTGAGGGGCATGCCCCTCTGCCAGTTTCCCTGGTAACTGATGAGTCAACCTGACATCAACTGCCCTTATAACTAGTAACCTCCCTCCCCCTCCTCTCTCCACCCCCCAGGGAAGACTGCTGCCAAGTCCTGCCTGCGCTTCTGCACACAGTGGGGTGTCTCAGGGTGGGGTGTAGGTCCAGGACCTTGCTTCAGATCCCTCTATCCATTAAACCATTTGGTGTCTCTGTTTCTGAATCCAGGCTCTTTCTTCAGTCTTGAGACTGAGCAAGAAAGGACAAGGCTTGCAGGCCTGTAGGCTGCAGCCTGACACCTTTCTGTGTTTCATTTGCAAAAATGAAGAATCTATATGTATAAACAAGCATACATACATATGTATTTCTTCTTCTGACATAAAAAATCATACTACATTTTTTAAACTTAGCAATATATCCCCCAAATCAGAAATAATCAATACTTCAAACACATAACTCTCTTTTTGTACAGCTTCTTAATATGCCAATGTCCTCTGTATGGGATTCAGTTTATTTTAAATGGTTTGCAGTTAAAAATAATGCCAAAATAGGTGAACTTGTGCATATGTATTTTGGTGTTATGGATGACGTATCTTCATGAGAAAACTCTTAGAAGTGAGTTTGTCAGTTACACATATATACTTTTCTTAGATGTTTCCAAATTCCTCTCCAAAGGTGTTGAACCACTTTATATTCCTACAAGTCATGTAACAGTCCATTGATCCACATATACTGTGTTTCCTACCTGGCAAGTGAGAGATGGTATACCAGTATAATTTAAATTTGCATGTATGTTATTATGAGTGTTTTTGGAATCATCTGTGATTGTTGTCTTTTTTTATAGCTTACGTTCAATGTGTCAACAAATCGTTTTAGATCTGTCTTCAAATTTATTCCAAATCTTATTTCTTACCACCTCTGCTGCTAAAATCTTGAATCCAAAATGCCATAATTTCTCAGTTTGTTGCACTTGCCTCCTAATAGAATTCCTGCTCCTACCTTTTCAACACAAGGCAGTCAAATGATCCTTCTCAATTTTAGCAGATTATGTAATGCTGGTGGTCCCTCATTTCACACAAAATAAGGGCCAATAGTTTTCCAGTGACCCCAAGGCTCTAAAATAATCTCCAACCTCATTTCCGCTACTCATCCCCCCTGCTCCACACTGCTTTTCTTGTGGTTCCAGAGAGCACCAGGCCTGCTCTCTTCAGGGCCCCGCACTGAGGTTTTCTCCGTCTGGAATACTCTCCTCTCAGACAGTAACGTGGCTGATTGCTCACCAGTTGTCTCCGTTCTCACGTCCTTGTCCTGGTGAGGCTTGATCGCCCTATTTCAATGACCTCCCACACTCCTAGTTTCCCTCGTGTATCATCTGTCTCCTCCCCTCTTAGGGAAAGGAAAGCCTAGGAGGGCAGGGAGTGCCTGTTTCCACCAAGTGTTGGTTGAATAAATAAACAAGATAGAGTAAATATATTACTTGGATTGTGGCTCTTGTGTTATTTATTTGTTCTTTTAATGCAATGACCAGGGTAGTACTAGGATTATAGATGACATTCACTAATTATGAAAAGACAGAAGAGAAACATTATTTGAAGACGTTTTCCACATTATTAATATTTACACACAAACTTAAATACTAACTGAATGCCCACTCCTTTCTATTAAAAACCAGATCCTTATGGCTAACACTGATGAAAATGCCATTTTTATATTAAGTATAAAGTTATATATCTATATTTACCATTTATTTTGCAGTTCATCTCATTGTTATATGCTGTATTTTGAATCACACTGAATTGATAGGGTTAAGCATATTTTTGTGTATGGTTTTTGTATTTTTTAAATCTGGGGTATTTTCTACCACCACCAACCAGTTCTTTCATTCTCCAAACACCAACTGGATGTCTATCCATCCAGTTCAGTTCTCTCACTAACCATCTGGAGTTAGCATGGACCCCACAGTCCCACGAGGCTTCCTCCTATCCTTCAGATGTCAGTTGCAAGTCTGGACCACCAGCTGTAAATGAGGGTTCCCACTCCCTGAGCCTCAGATTTGATAATTTGCTAAAACAGCTCACAAAACTCAGAAAACCATTTAGTTATATTTACCAATTTATTATTAAAAATATTTAAAAGGGAAACAGATAAATAGCCAGATGAAGAGGTACACAGAGTGACATCCGCCAAAATTCCGAGCACAGGAGCTTCTGTCCCTGTGGATTTGGGGTATGCCTCTGTCCTGGCAGGTGGTCATGTTCACCAAACAGCAAGCTCATCAAATTTCCCTGTTCAAAAATTCTGATAGAGCTTAATCTCTCGCCTTCATTCCCTCTGCAGAAGTCAGGGTGGGGCTGAAAGCGCCAACCCTAGGAACACCTGATTTTTCTGATGACCAGACATACCCTGAGGCCCCACCATAAGTAGCAAAGTGCAGGTATGTACAAAAGGAGCTCATTACGCATAACAAAAGACACTCCTATCACTTAGGGTTTTTAGAAGCTCTGTACCTGGAACCTGAGAAAAGACCAAAATATGTATTATACTACCTGTTAGACTACCAGGGTTCAACCCCCCCAAATATTCTATTTTTCAATAGATTTGCAACAGATAATTTTTGGAGGCAGAGAACATCAACACCTTATCACACAGGTGAAAACTCCCCCCATTAGTAACATTTTCCCCCAAATATTTAGCCAGTAATAACATTATTTATTGGATAAATCCTCCTGTTACTGAGCCTTTTGAGTTGAGCCGCAACAAGGGTCCTCCTGTCAGTTCAGAAGTAAAGGAGAAGTTTTACTCTTTGATCTCAGAGTGGAGGGCGGAGAGACCCCGCTCCAGAGCACAGGCTCGCCCAGAAGGGCTGTGGGCGGGGCTGCTTCATAGGGCTCTGCTTGGCGGGAAGGGAGAAGGGGCGGGGCTCCCTTGGGTGGGCGGGGCTGCGAGGCTCGCTGCTTCCCTGCGCAGCGCCGGGCGCCGCCTCTCTGCGCACGGCCCCTGCCGCCATCTTGGCTGTCGGCGTCGGCGTCGGCGCCGCGGGTCCACAGGAGGGGCCCTGAAGTGCCGCTTTCCCGAGGTGCGTTGTTTGAGGCTTCTGCCCGCCGCGTCCTGTGAGCAGGTGAAACTAGCCTGGGCGCAAAGGGGGAAAAAAAGGTTAGTCTATTTTATTACCCACATCCTGTTTTCCAAGAATTGTTAATGGGCTTTGCCAGTGAAACTCCATATTTATTTCAGCTGTTTTATAGCGTTCTATTATTGGATTTTACATTCTGTTTGCTTAACAGGTTTGTCATTTTTTAAGAGAGACCACCTCTCTTTTAATTGCTGTCGTCTTAGACTATACATTGGTATCTGGTCACTCAGGCTTTTGACATATCTGTTCAAAAATTTGGGCTACTTTCATAAATTGACACTTTCAAATGGACTTTTTTATCCCCTTAATTCCAATAAGAACATTTAGAATTTTGATTATAAACGCTTTAAATAACTCTGGGAGGAACTGACAGCTTTACAGTGCTGAACCTTCCTATCTATGAACAAAGTTTAAGTCCTCTTATCATAAAGTACTGTTTGTTACCTTATGTCTTCCTGAGAAGTTGTTTTTTTTTCTCATTTAATGGCTCTGAAGCATTTCCTAAATTTCTCCTGTTTGTTCTGTACTCTCTGCTCACGTACTTGATTCTGAAGACACATCCTTCTCACCTTCCATCCAGTTAGAGAAATAGCTGTTAGCTCAAAAAAGTCATGGACTGTTGTGTCGCCATTGCCCAGTCTTGTGCTTTTTTCTACCAAATGTTATGAATAAATGGCTACGTGATAATGAAACAGGTTGGAAAGCCCGTCATTCAAATTATACTCTCAGTGTGACAGGTAAAGCTATATAGCACATCCAGTCAACGGAAAAGGCAGGCCTTTCCTTCTTCACCCTTTAAGGAAAGGATTGAATTTAGCTAATTTAATTTATCTCTTGATAAGAGTTACTAATACTGGTCAAAGTAACGAATATGTAATGTATTGATTGCTTTCTTAATTTTATTTTCTGTTTGCTACCGAGTTGAGCATGTTTTCATAGGTTAATAGGCCACTTGGATTTACTCACCTGTGATTTGCTTTTTATTCTTTCTGCCAATATTTTATAAGGTTTTTTGATTTCTTATTATTAATTTATAGGATTTTTTTCTTGAAATCTTTTTTTTTAATCCTGTAATGTAACTGTGTTCATTTATTTTGCTGCTTATCTTTTAACTTTACACTGTCTTAGGATATATCTGGTGTACCAGACTAATTTTGATCTACTCAAATGTATTTGTTTGTTTAATCCTTTGCCTTAGTGATTTATGCTTTTATTCTATTATGTAAGAAATGTTTTTATATTACAGTCATAAAAATATTTCTGCATTTTCTTCTGAGTTTCGTGTAGTTTGGCCCCATATTCCAGGTTTTTAATTAATTTTAAGTTTTTATTTATTATAATGTGTAGTTGGGAACCATTTATATATATAAATATATATTTCTTTGCAGATAAGCAGTTAAAATCTGACAAATAATTCAGTTAATAGTTAAAGCCCATTTCCCAGAGATTTGTCCAAAACCTTTTATTTTTTGAATATTGTATCCATAAGATAGGCATCTGTTTCAGGGCTCTCTGGTCTATATATTCATTTATTTGTCTCTTTCTACATCCATATCAGACTGGCTTTGCAATACTCGTTGACATTTGTATCATTAATTTTATGCCTGAAATGTTCGTTAGTAGATTATTTATTTTTCAGGTTTTTAGTTTGTTTTTCTTTGCAATTTGGGGAATTTTACTCCAATTTTTAAAAACTTACCTATCAACCTGAAAAAAAAAATCCTACTAGAATTTGATAAGAATTGTATTGAATTTATAGATTATGTGATGGGGATATTTTTAGGACATTAATTCTTCACAGTCATGAATAAATACTAATAACTCTCAGTATTCATAAATTGAAAGACTTGGTATTAAAATATGTTAGCTCTCATAGGATTAATCTATAAATTCACAGTGATGTCTATCAAATAACCAGATTTGCAGGAGTGGGAGAGGGAATTCTTTAAAGTGATTCTGAAATGTATGTGTGACTATAAAAAGATCAAGGAAAGCAAAGGCAGATTTTTCAAAGGAGATCAAAGTTAGAGGATAGACTTTATCAGATAAAAAGATGTATTATAACACTGAATTCATTAAGACAGTGCAGTTTTAGTGTAGGGAATATCAAAAAGACCAGGGCAGTAGAACAGAGACAGTCTCCTAATTTATGATAAAGAACACACTGAAGTAAATCTACTTCTATATGGATATATACCCCTAAAATATTTGTGCATATATTTACCAAAATTCATGGGG